CTGTGCAGTGTCGGGGCAGGATGTCGGGGGCGTTGAGGAAGGTGTCCACGTAGGGGGCCGGGGACCCGCCGCGTGCCGAGGCGTTCCCGCCGCGGCCGAACACGTGCTGCTCCCGAGTCATCACGTAGACCACGAAGTCCTGCGGGGAGAGCGAAGGCGCGCTGAGGCCGCCGCGCCGCCTCGGGTGGACGCTGCCGGAGAGATCTCTCCAGACCGGGCGACCGTGGCGATCGCTCTCCCGCCAGCCACCTCCCTCGCGCGAACACTTCCAGGGAGGTCTCCTGGGATCCCTAAGGACTCGCCCATGACCCCCACCTCCCAGGAGTGGGCTCTTCAAAGGCCCTTCCCATGGTGGACTGCCCCATAACACCAAGCCTGAGACCTGAGACTGACGAGGAAACCCCCTTGCCGCGGGCTCTCCCATTTCCCTCCCTCAAAAAGTGGATGCTTCCCAGGGCTTTCTCCAATAGATTCTCCCATCATCTCACCTCCTCTGAAGGGACTTTCAAGGCAATCCCTTCCTACAGTGGACTCTCCCATTACATCCAACCCATTATCCTCCCCCTCAAAGAATGGACCTTTCCAAAGGAACCTTTCTTCAAGGAACATCCCCGCTGTTTCCCACCCCTGGCCCCACTTACCCGTCATTCCACCCCCATGATGATGATGGAGGTTTCCAAAGACATTTCCCCTTCCAAAAATAGTTTCAATATTCCCAAAGCAAGGAACAGATACCTTTAAAGAGACTCCCCTTTCGAACAAAGGTTTCTTCCATAATCTCCACCCCATGAACGTATACACTTCCAAGGAGACCCCTTTTCTACAGTGGACTCTCATTTTTTCCCCACCCTCTGCTGGACTTGCTTCCAAGGAAACATCATCCTACAGCAGCCTCACCTATTACCTCCTTTTCCATGATAGATGTTTCCAAAGATACTCTCCCTTCCATCAGTGGATGTTCTCAATATGCCCATCCCCAAAAAAGGATGTCTCCAAGGACATCTCCATATAGTGGCACTTCTAGTAACCTCACCTTATTAATAGATGTTTCAAGGAGACCCTCTTAAGATGGAGTGTCCCATTTCATCCACCAAATGAAGAGGTGCATTGCAGAAGACCCCTTCTTAAAAATGACTCCCTTCTACATCCTATAAAAATGGAAGAGCCCAGTCTGGCCCCCTTCTTAAAATAGATCCTTCTGTTCTGCACTCACGTCGGAGAGAATTCTGATATTCATAAACCCTCTTCCGATACTGAACTCTCCCATTACCTTTACCCCACGGATGGATTTTTCCAGAAAGACCCCTTCCTACCAATGGGTTCACTCATCTGCCTCTAGAAAAATGGGCCTTTCCCGTCTGACCTCCTTCTGAAGGTAGACTCTCCTGTTTTCCATCCCTGTCTAAAGGAATGGAATGATTCAAAATATATGAACCCCCTTTCTAAAATGGGCTCTCCTGTTCCTTAAACCAAGAAGGGATGCTTCCACAGCACATAGAGTGAACTCTCAGGTTATCGCCACCCACGAAAAAAAGAGTGCAAATAAATTCTATAATAGCCTCACTTCTTACTCTTTTGCCCAAGGAACGGACTCTTCCAATAAAGACTCTTCCTTACAAAGTAATTTCTCATGAACTTCGCCCAAAAGAGTGGATGTTTCCCCCTCTTCCCATAACAGACTGGCCTATACTGCCCAAATAGATCCTTCCAATTTGACCACATTCCCAAAGTGGGCCTTCCTTTCTCCAACCTTGTCTGGAGGAATGGGCTGTTGTAATATATGCAGACCCCTTCCTGCAATGAATTTGCCCCATCCTGTTGCCTCAACAAAGGAATGACTTCTGTGCAAGCTCTTCTCTGAATAGTCTAATTCTCACCCATATACAGAGCCAAGCCACCAACCCACTGGATCTCTCTCTGATAGTAAAAATGGAACTGTTCATTTAGCTCCACTGCCTTCTACAGTGGGCTTTCCCATTGATCCCAGCAGTACCTGTTGAGCTTGGCTGTACCACTGTTACCCAAAAGCAGACAACACCATAAGGATGATTCGCCTAATCATCACACAGAAATATGAGTATTTCCACTAATACATTAGAGTTCTATGAATGAAATAACTTCCCACTGACCCCCAACTGCTAGTCCTTTCTCCCTCTGCTCCCTAACACTCAGACAAGGTCTATTGCCACCCAAATATATAAAATAGAAGGATCAGTACCACCTGCCTCCACCAGCAATGGTGAAATCATTCCAACATAAACCACCTTTTATTTTTTATTTTTTTAAATGTATCTTTATTGATTTCATAGAGAGGAAGGGAGAGAGAGAGATAGAAACATCAATGAGAGTCATTGATCAGCTGCCTCCTGCACGCCCCCAATTGGGGATCGAGCCCGCAACCTGGGCATGTGCCCTGACTGGGAATCAAACGTCGATCTCCTGGATCCTAGGTCGATGCTCAACCACTGAGCCACACCCGGCCAGGCCATAAACCACCTTTTAAAAAAGGATTAGTCCAGCCCAGCCAGAGTGGCTCAGTTGGTTGAGCATTGCCCTGTGCACCGAAAGGTTGCCAGTTTGATTCCTAGTCAGGGCAGGTGCCCAGTTGTGGATTCAAGTCCCAGTCCAGTCAGGGGGTAGGGCAGATAACCAATAGATGTTTCCCTCCCTCTCTCTCCACCCCTTTCCTCTCTCTAAGTATGCATGTCCTCAGGTGAGGATTGTATACAAAATGATTAGTCCACTCCTCCCCCAAAAATACAGACTTGCCCAGCGGACAGACTTTTCCATTACTCCCCCTGCCCCTCAAGAAATAGATACTTTTAAGGAGATCTCCTTTCTACAACAGGCTCTTCCATTCATTCAAAGTTGTGGGAAGACAGTGCTTTCCCACAACTTTGAATGAGATGAACTATTCCTTACCTGTCCCAAGGAATCCTGGGGTTGTAGTTCTGTCGCCCTTTAACAGAAGGGTGTGGCATAGAGCTCTCAGTAGGAGCCACTGTGCTTACCTGGGCATCCTGGTAGCCCTGGAGCAGCAGAAAGTAGGGCCGGTTGCTGGGGGCCTGGATTAGGCACTGAGTCAACTGATCAAAGTCGCTGGGGTCTGTGGGTCCTATTTGAGCATCAGCTGCCCCGGGCGCCATGCTAAGTGCCTGCTGCCTGCGCTCCTGCTGCCGCCTTCGCCGACCCTGCAGGCTGAGCTCTGACACACTTCGTCGCAGAGACAGGTTTTCTGAGCGCTCCTTGCCAGCTGACCCAGCTGGGGTCCCTGACCCGGCCCCCGGGCCAGGGCTGGCCAGCGCTGCCCCACCGGATGCTGCCCGGGAGCGGTTCTTCTGTGGCCGCCACAAGGCGGGGCCTGTGCCTGCAGAGAGAGATGAAGAGCAGTACAGCTGAAACTGGGAAGACACAGGGCGACAGACTCAGAAACCTGGGGGTTATCAAGAGACAAGGGATTGGCTACAGAGAGATGAGGCTGCTTCCCACACTCAGATTTTTGCATATGCTGTTCCCTGTGCCTGGGACACATTTTCTGCCTGACTCCTACCCATCTTGTAGTTTTCACCTCAGAAATTCATTCATTCTTTCAAGTAATATATTCTGAGCACCTATTATGTTCTGGGCTCTGTTCTAGGCACTAGGGACATTGCAGTGAACAAAGACCCCGCCTCTAGGGAACCAGAACACCCTTCCCTGGCATTCCAAGTTGAAGCAGAGAACAGCACCCCTGGACACTTTGGGCTTTGTCTGGGCCCAGCACAGCCCTGGCATACAGTAGGTGCCTAGTGGAAATGAGGTGAACGAGTGAACTGATGTGTTTCTGGCTAGGCTGTAAAATCTAGGAGGGAGGGAGCTTCACCTGTCAATGTCCCCATTGTATTTCCCCAGGGTCCTAAATAATGTATGGCCCAGAGGAGGTGCCCAATGAATGCTTTTTGAAGAAAGAAAAAAAAAAGACAATGATGGTTATAATTGCCATTCCTTATTAAGCAATTAATGTGCCATTCACTGTACTGAAACTCTTTATATACACAGTCTCATTGAACCTTCACCTAGCACTTTGCTGAGTTTAACTGGCTAAGGACAGACGAGTCTCAGCTTGAGTTCAAGCCCTATGAGTTTAACTGCCACGCCACTCTACCTCCCAAAAGGGGACTCAGAAACAGAAGAGAGGGTTCCTTGAGCAGCCCCTAATCCTGTGAGCCTGGCCCCACCCCTGTCAGGCCCTGCCCCCCCACTTGCTGTTTCACCAAAGGCACTGCCTCCTGTCCCAGGCCCAGTCTTCTCACAGATCAGACCAACAGGTAAGCATAACCTTCCCTGGTCTGCACCCTCAAGCCCCAGCATTCAGACTTGGAAGCCAACTCAGCTTAAGGCCGCCAGCTCCAAGGCCCGCCCTCCTGAGGCTCCGCCCATTCTTGGGCTTCGAGCTGGCAGCCCGTTTCTGTCCGCTCCGGGTCCCTCCCCCTTCTAGTCTCCATGCACAGAAGTCGGCCTGCCCTCAGGAACCATTTCGATCTACTGCTCCGAGAGGACTGCTGCCATAGGGACCCACAATGCCACTCCTCCGTCCCACCCGACACCGCTAGTTCCAGGCAACTCTATTCTGCAGGCCCCGCCCCAGCATCATAGGCCCCGCCCATGGGCGCCGCACTGACCCCAAGGGCTCTGGCCTAGCCCCTCTGGCTGACTCCGGTGCGGGCCCAGCTCCTACCTCCGCTGGACCCCGCGCTATAGGTCCCGCCCAGTCCCCTTCCAGGAGCCTCGCCTCCAGCTCGACCTCTCACCCCAGCCCCGCACGCCCCGCCTCGCCCTGGCCCGCACACCCAAACCCCTGCCCATCCCTGCCCCG